CACCCAGGAACCTAGCCACGCCCATTGTATATTTACCGTATCCGGAAATGGCGTGCAGGAACATGTACATAAAATTTGTGATAAGCATGAGCACCATTGAGTACAGTGATGGAGTACGAATACATCCGAGCTGAAATTAAAGCTATTTTAGATATTCAAGGAGAATCCACCAATAACCATGCAACTAACTCCGCCCCGTGACTAGCTCCGCCCCTTACCTTGTTTGACAAGTAACCAAAAAACGGTGCAGAGCCAGCCATACCAATGCTGTAGGCAGCATTGATAATCGCGAAGTCTTGCATTGTAGCAGTGCTATCAATCTAAATTTTATCGATCAAAATTTTGATTTTATAAAATCGATAAAATAGCTACCTCTTGTAGAAAAGGCCATAACGAGGCAAAATATACTGTGAATTGTATTCGAGTTAACAGTATGACAACCATGATCAATCTTATTGATTTCCAATCAGTTTTCCTCGACAAGCTGTCGGTCGAGGTGGTGTCTTCTGTAGATGCATCTTCCTTGGCTGGGATCCCAAAACTGAAAAAAGTTTCTAGATATTCTTTTCCTGCCATTTAATGAATGCCATTTTCACCTAAAAGAATTCCTTGACTCCTCGATTGTCGGCAATTCTGGGAACTTCGGCGTTTTGGGTGTTTTTGGCGTGATAGGGGTCATCGGTGTCCGTGGAGTCCGAGGGCTTTTCGGCGATGCGAAATCGAAAGCTGTATCAAATGAGAAAATGCTTCTTGGAGTGAGCGGAGCTCCATGGCTGACCGATCGATGAAACCTAAGAATGCAACTCAATCGATAATCGATTAATTTCACTTCACGAATATTTTTACCTTGGACGCCCTTTCATAATCACGGGACTGTTTGGCAAATCAAATGAAAATACAGAGCATGGGGTACATGGTGAAGGTTCCGGAACATAGGGTGTAGTGGGCAGTCGAAGCCGTTGAAGTCGATGGCCTCTTTTCATCAAGCGAGCTCGCTCGTTTCTAAAAAGTTGGTATCACTTGAAATGAACCTTAACTATCATAATGATTTCTTCATTTATGAACTAAAATTCTGTTGTTGTTTCATATAGTTTACTCTGCAAAAATGTAAGTAGATAATCAAAGACGAAAATCTGGACATTTTTTATTGCTTGCAAAAATGACACAAATTTTCTGCATAAATAGTATATGAAAGATAGAAAAAGCAGTAAAAGTTTTTGCTGACGAAATGGAGCAGGTAAATAGTTACCCTAACTTCACGGGAAGGCGCTTGGCATTTTTTTCTGAAATCAACTACCCCAAACATGCCAAAATATT